ATCCCAGAGGAGCCAACTCGTGTTGCCTTGGGCGAGCTGTACTGTCCCAGAATGCCTCCAGAAGAAGGGAATGGTAAACACTTCTGACTATTTGCTACCTAGGAAACTTTGAAAAGGCTCACCTTAACTCAGAATCGATGGCACACAATTGTTAATATTATTAGTGGACTTGCATTATATGTATTGAGTGTATTCCCTCATCTCTTCATGCATGTCACATTTGTTTTCAGGCAGAGATATTTCAACCAGCAGGTGGTAGCATTGTCCTGCTTAAATCCTGGACAGCTTCTTCCACAGCTATTTTTAACGCTCTCTCTCTCTCTCTCTCTCTCTCTCTCTTTCCAGTGATGCTACTTTGAACTTTCTCAAAAGATTTGTAATGGAATTATCTCACCAATCACTTTTTGCATCCACATGCTTTTCATTGCATTCACAATCTTTGCACAGCTGTATTGTTTCCTGATTGGCTTTGATGTCAACATCAAGACACAAATACTGTAAGGCTTTTCAAGTCCACCAATGCCTGGATGCAATCCTTCTAGCTGGAATTTACATCCACCAAAAGCACTGGAAGCTTTTGAGCACTAACCATATACATAAGAAATTTATTTGTCATTGCGCTCACAAGTGGGTGCAACGAAATGTGGTATATATATCATTGCGCTCACAAGTGGGTGCTTATATGCTTTCCCCCAACAAGTGGAATGACCAAAATCACTGAAAGCTTTTGAGCACTAACCATATACAGGAAGATTGCCAGTAATTCTGGGTCAAAGCCTCAAAATGGCCAAAAAACTAAGAACTCATTAACACATTCTCTCATGTAATTCTTTCGATTTTAATAAACAGAAATGCTTATATGCTTTCCCCCAACAAGTGGAAGTTGAACCAATTAGAGAGCTAGTCTGCAAAAAAAGAGGCAAACACTTCACTTAAATGTAATGATCCGTGTTAACGATCACTTTCATTATGGACCTAAGAGCACAAAAAAGGTAAAAGCACTTTTTCATGACCTCCACCTGTTTCTTAGACTTGTTTGCAAGCATCATCTAGCAGTCAGAATTCTGAAGGTACATCTTATTTGTGTTAAATTGCACTATACTCTGGAGATTATAATTCATAGCCTCTGATGTTATTAGTATTACTTTAGAAAGACTATCGTGTACCTTCAGAATTTTGACTGCTAGATGATGCTTGCAAATGAGTCTAGGAAACACGTGAAGGTCATGAAAAAGTGCTTTCCCCTCTGTTATGCTCTTAGGTCCATAATGAGCTGCAGTAATCGTTAACATTTCTAAGTGATACATTTATAATATCAGAGAGAGCTCTGCTATGAAATAGAAACTGTGAATTTCCAAAAGGTTAATTGAGGTTGGAAGAAACAATGGCTTTCATGCAGATACTTTCCTCCTGTAATTGGGTTAATTGGATTCCTTCCTCCTTTACACAAATGAGAGTTAGGTGTAAGTATCCAAGAACATGCCAGCTCCCTGTAAGAAACTTGGGGCAGCCAGGTCCTAAATAGGGGTGCTTAGCTTGAAGGTGCTTTCTTTCTCATATCCTACTAGGAGGAGTCTGATTTCTGGCATGTGCGCCTTCTGCTTCCTGAGGATGTCACCTGTGCTTAGCTTTCATAAGAAGATTATGCAGCTTGCAGATAGCTGACTCTCAACCTTATAAACTGAATCTTATAAAGCCTGGACTTCAGAATGTGGTCTTCCAATTCCTGCTGCACTCTGAACCTATCATCCTTACCCACGAGGTTCATGACCATAGACGGTTAACATTAATTCCATTACGCTACAGGCGCTTTTTAGACATGGCTCCTGTCTTGACCTAAGGAACCAAACAGGGTCTTGCATTCAGGCTGGCTTGCTCAGGCAATGCTCAGGCAATAAGAGCCCACAGGGGAAGCAGAAACAGGAGCTCCTTTATACTGTAAGAGAGACGATCACAGTATTATTTCCTGTAAACATTTAGTGCATCTTAATTGTCTTAAATATCTTAAACTGTTACATCAATAGGTTTTATTTCACTGGGAATTACTGCAATCAAAAGACAATGTCTTCTTTGTTACAGACCCACCTTTGATGCAATACAATCTATCATTTAATGCCAGATTTATATTTTAGTTGAGTCTTTCCCCTAGTGAGCTCAGAACAGCATACGTGGCTCTTCTCCTCCCTAATTTATCCTCACAGTCAAATGGAGAAAGTGACTGGCACCAAATCACCAGGTGACCCCATCTTTAGCCATGGTACAGCCTAGTATGGTTGTGTGTGTTTAGTCGTTTAGTCGTCAAATGGAGAAAGTGACTGGCACCAAATCACCAGGTGACCCCATCTTTAGCCACGGTACAACCTAGTATGGTTACAAGTAGATTTTAAGCAGAGTTTCTGGGGATTGATTTAAGCATTTCTAAACAACACGTTCAGCTTTCTTGTGGCAAGAATTATTTGAACCTGGAACCTGGGGGATCGCAACCAAACGAACATGCCACAATTAAATTTTGCCAAATGCATCCTAGTTATTTGTAGGTATGGGAGTAAACTCTATTTAGCTGCTTTTCAAGCAGCAATCACACACTTGCTTGTTTTTTGAACTGGGCTAGAGATTACAACCTTATTAAACTACAAAGAAAGCATGACAAGGATTATGGCCTTTGGCCTTGATTCTCAAAGCAGCAGAGTGGTATAAACCCCTAGCTTTCAGAGTGCTTTGAGGAGAGAGAATGTTGCATATAACCTGAGAAGGGACAGGAAATGTCTATCTTTTGTGAATGACCTCCTGCTTCCCACTCATGGACCAATCTGTTCACTTAGGAAGCAGTAGAATGAATGGCATGTTTCCTCTCATCTTTGATGGCAAATGTACTATGAAAGGTACTTTATTCTTCAAAGATCTGAGGCTGCATCATGACATTATTCATGTCTCTAGTAAAGAAACAGTTTGGGGTTTCGATATGCCTCAAAAAAATCACAGGCTGTTTTTAAAAATTAAAATTAAAACAATTGTCTGACTGACAATATGTGAAATGTTTTTTTCCTAATAGTTTCTAATACCACTCACTCTAAATAGCTTGTATCCATTTCAGATATAAAACTGTTCTAACATGATCAGTTTGGGGAGAGATTTACAATGTTTTTGCTTTTGTAAAACTACCTTGAATTCAAAGACAGTGCCGTGCTATACTTTTTCAGTGTAATAGTAGCCTTTTTTTTAAAAAAGTGAGCCCTGTGTCACCTTTAATGCTTGTATACTTCTTAGATGACAGTCCACATCTTCACATACACAGCATACAATATTCAAGCTACAGATGCATATGCATGCATAGTGGTTGTGGTTATGGTTATGAGAAGGGATTAGAATGTAATTTTTATTAACAAGAGCCTGTCCACAGGTAACTTTCAGATGGACTTATTTGTAAACAAAGATGTTGTTTCAAGAGATATTTGTATTGGATACCTCTACTGGCAGGCTGCAAATTTATTTATTTATTTTATTAAACTTATATACTGCCCATCTGGAATGTGTCTACTCTGGGTGGTTTACACAAAAAGCTGCAATGAAGCTTGAAAATCAAATGACAGAGAACACAGAGACATTATGGAAGGTAGAACAAGGATGTATACTTCCACAAATGCTTTTCAGTTTGTACTCTGAGATCATCTTTAAAGAGGTACTTACTAATTCAAATGAAAGGTTAATAGAAAGTTTATCAAGAACACCCAACATGCAGACAATACAGTACTACAAGCTGACCATTTTAATGATCTGCAGAGGTGAATTCAGTAAAGTTAGTGAGGTAAACAATGAACAGTGTGTAAAGTAGAACAAACAGATGGATCCCAGCACACAATAACAGAATAGAGAGGACACAGAGCACGTTCCATATTCCAAGAGAATATGCAACAAAAACAAAGTTAGCTTTGAGAGCAAGCAGCGTACAGCACTATGTATTCTCAGTTCTACTACATGACATGGAATCATGGATGTTAACACAGGCTACTATAAAACAAGACAGTCATTTGAAATGGCAATTAAGATCCATTAACTTCACAAAAGAACTGTTCTTTAGTTACTAATAGGAAACACACTATCTGCCTACATTTTTGGATTCTCCTTGCAGAGAGGGTTGCTAAGGGGCATGCCATGATGAGCCACCCCCTTCCAAATTTACCAGGACAACTCAAATTATGCAAATCAATTTATTTATTTATTTGATGTATATACTGCCCCATGAGTGCAAAGCAGTTTACAGGTTAAAACCTAAGCCCAACAAAACCCCACATAAGAGAAAACATGGCGATCTGACAGCAGAGGTCTAAAATTCATACACAAAAGAAGAGGGGAAGGGAAAGAATGAAAATTAACATTATGGGGGGCAGCGTCTTTTAACTTGTGGGGAGCCAAGAAAGAAGGCGGCGTCCTCTCAGGTACCATGGAGGGAAAAAGTTTTCCCGGCGCGGAGACTGAAGTCCGCGAAAGAGCACTAACTGCCTGGTGGTGGCCGGGAGAGGGTGCTTTTTGCCCGGCCCTCCGAGGCAAGGAGGCGCGTTGTGGCAGCGGCGCCCGCTTGCCTCCCTTTGCAGCCAACGCTCCGCGGAGCCGCCAGCGAGGGTTAGCGCCTTTCTGCTCGCTCCCTGCCCGGCCTTGCCACAGGGGCCAGCTCTGCTCCAAAGGCTTCGGGCTGAACCGAGAGCGCCTCCCCCTCCCCCCCCCCCCCCTCGCCGCCCGCTCTCCCTTCCTCCGGTTGCTCGCTCTCCGTACGTGTGTGTGTGTGCGCTGCGTGTGTGTGTGTGGGCGTGCGGGCGAGGGCCCTGGCGGCAGCCCGCGTCACTCGCCACTGATTGGCAAGGCTCCGAGGTCCGGCCCTGCCCCGCTCCGCGCTGATTGGCAGCAGGATGTAGTCCAGCCACGCTTTCCTGGAAAGTTCTTGGAAATCTATCAAAGGTATTTCCTTGAACTGAAAGAGCGTCAGCAGCCGGTGCTGAATAAAACTGGAAGCGGCCAACAGCTCTTCAGCTTTGCGAGGGGAATAAGACCGATCGCGCCTCTTTTTCTTTTTTTTTCTTTTAACGCTTCCCTGGCTCCCCCTTGGCAGATCCTGGTCGCGGGGAGGGTCGCTCGCGGGGGTCGATTTTGCCCCCCCCCCGCCACCCCACCCCGAGCAAGTTCGAGATCTGTTACGGATGCATCTATTTATATTTTCCTCCCTTTTTTTTTAGGTTAATGTCAGAACAGTGATGTGAATACAATACAATTCCAGGAATCCACCACTTCCTGGAATAGATTAAAAGGGCGCAAACAAAAGATTACTGAGTATTGCTCCTCTTTTTTTTTCCCTCCCCGCTCCCTCCTCCCCCCCTCCGCCGGCAGCGCTCCGAGGGCTGCATTACTTGAAGAGCCAGCGCCGAGGGCAGCCGCGGCCAGTTTTGTCTCCGCTCACTGCTTCCGTACCGTTCGCCCGGGAGAGATTATTTATTGCGATAGACGTCTATATTTATTGTTTTGTCAGTCCCTCCCTTTTGATTTCACTGGCGATTCTGAGCGCCACCCGAAAAGGAGAGACCATTTTTTCCCTTTCTTATAAGACTCACATCCAAAAGAGTCACTTCTGTGTTTGAAGCTCAAGAAGAGTTTTGTGGAAACCAGCGAAGGACACGGACATTTTCCTGCTCGTGGGCTGCCCTGAGTCCAGGCTTTCTAGGGAAGCTCGAATACTTTTCTCGGAGGGAATCTCCCAGGTGCTTTCGAGAGGACGTGTTCGGATAAAACCAGCCTCCTCTAGCTCAGCAGCTTCGCCACCGACGGTGGGAGATCAAAAGTGACGACAGAGAAGGTAGCCGAGAGAGGGAAAGGGATTCCTCCCCCCCCCCCCCCCATAATCTCCCGTCCCTGGACGCCTTGATGTTCTTTCATTGGTCCTGGAGGGACATGATCCTCTGCGTTCAAGGGTAAGTGGCTCTGTGGACTTTCTGCTTTCAGCATCGTAAACCTATGTCCTTCTCTCTCCTCTGCTCAGAAGGCAGTCCCACTGCGTGCTGTGAGTGAGGGTTTACTCCCAGTTGTTATTATTATTATTACGTTGCAGCCTCGGTAGGGTTAAAAAAAAAGAGAAAGAGATAAAAATAAAAGGCGCCATATCGATTCTGTAAAACAAATCTTCGGCTACAACTCCGTAAAGGTTTCCCTTCAGATACGTGGGTGTGGTTTGACCAGGACGGAAGCTTGTGCCCACGTTTTCAGGAAAGCAAGGCAGCGCCCGCAGTGCTTTGAATATTTAGCTGACCACATCTAGATAGCTTTAACGCAGGTAACTGCTGGAAAGGAGAGGAGCAAAAGGGGGGGAAAAAAGCCTTTCCATGCTGCGATTTTGATAAAAGCTGGCATGACTTAAAAATCTTGCCAAACCCCGAAGGGCAAGAATGGGAAACCTAGAGGGAAGAACTCTGCGCCCTAGGAAGTAGCACTTCGTTGTACATAATTAGTGGTAGCTAGCATTAATCTGTCTTCAGAGAAAGAGGGTCTTTTTTAATTTTGCAGGGAAAATCCCAGAAAGTTATTAAACCAAAGAAGGGTGGCGGAAGGGGAATGCAAGTCACCAATCACCTTAGAAAACTCACAGTGTAGACATACTTGCTGGGAAGTAAGTCCCGCTTGGACTTCGGGCCAAATGGTGTGTAAGTGATGCCAGCCTCTAAGATGGCACACCTATGGCTGGACTTTTTTCCTCCGTTTGCCTATTTGTCTTTTTTCTGTTTGGTCTGGATAGTGTCACATGTGTGGTTTCTGACAAGAACTGAAATGCGTTTGCATGTCTGTAATTCTTTCATTACTTAGCAGCTGGGCACTGAAAAAACAAGGACAACCAGATCTGTTATCTGGGCCATTTAAAAGTGTGCTAAAAGAGAATTTGCCAGATCTTTTTCAGTCCACTTTTTAAAAAAGTGAAAGTTCTACCAACACCTTTCAGCTTTTGCCTCATTATAGTATATTAATTCAGTATCTGAATGATATTTTGGTTTCTTAGTATTCACGCATATTGCTTTCAGACCAAGCAATGATTCTGACGAATTTGCTTCAGAATAGTCTGGGAGTAAATAGCTGCACCAGAAGCAGACAACTTGGTGCCCTCTACTTCTTTTAGACTACAGTTCCCATAACTCCCAGCTAGCACTGACCAGTTTTCTGGGATTTAGGGGAGTCGATATCTCAAACACCTGGATGGTACTAGATATTCATTGGGCTGCCATAAAGTTGGCAACTACTTGATGGCATACAACAGCTGCAGCACAACATCAGCAAAGGTTATCTACACACTTATCTGTGAAGAGCTCTTATTTCTTAGTGGACATGTTTGGGGCTGCGCTGCAACTTTGTAACTGAAGCAAGCGTCCCTGGTGACCATCTGTTTCCTATCTGTTCCTGTTTGCCTCCAAGTTCATTTTCCCTCCCAACCTTTCACTTTCTATTCTTTCTTTCTTTAGAAGTATGCGTAGTTCAGAAGCCTCTTGCATTTTGCTGCAAAATAGATTGAGAGAGAGAGAGAGAGAGAGAGAGAGAGAGAGGGCCCAGTGCTAGGAGCTTTAGGACTGAATGAGGATTTGAACTTGAATCTCTTTAGCACAGCACAGCCAACAGCAACAGATTGGCACTCAGCTGGTCCTGCCTCTGGTGCAACAAACTTTGATGTAGAAGCTTTGATGATTTGCCTTAATCCTCTTTTGTGGTGGACTTGCAATATGCATTTTCATATTGTTATTCTGGATCTGTCTGCCCTATGGCTGTGCTGGTTGCTTGTCTTTCTTTTCTCTCGTAGCATCTAGGAAGCAACTTCCTCATTCCCTATGCATACTATACTATATTGGTTGTATCATCATTGTGCAAACTTTCCCCTACCTTATTAACAGTAGTAATACTACCTAGCATTCATCAAAATCACTTTTGACAGGTGTGCTGCTCCTGTGAGGCGGGACAAAGGCTCAAGAAACGACCTGGGGCCCTCCTCCTGGGTGGGCAGGGCTTTTGGGGCAGAAGGCCTCCAAAATCACTGCTGTGGAGTTTCAGCCCCGGGTGGCCCAAGGCCATGCCAAGGCATGCCCTACGGCCACCCCTTTTCTAGCCAAACCCATCCAACCTCTCCCCATTGGCCTACAGGGCCACAGGGGTAGCACGTCACTCCAGGGGCCAATCCTGAGGCTGCACTCTGGTCATGGGGGACCTGGCATCTATGAACCCCTCCTATAGGCCCACGGCGGCCTCACCAACTCCCTACGTCACCCTAAGGCCCCACCCACCCAGGAGGAGGGCCCTGGGTTGATTCTTGACCCTTTGTCCCACCTCGCTGGGGCGGCGCACCTGTCAAAAGTGATTTTGATGAATGCTAGGTAGTATTACTACTATTAGCTACCAGTCTGTCTTGTACTACTAGCCTGTGTTCTTGCTAACTCCCACACAGACTCTTACATCTTCGCCACTCCTGGTTGCTGTTTTTCTCCTGCACCTTGGAGCTTATTTTTCTGATAAAGAGCAGAAACTCCCCTCTATCTACTGTTTCTTCAAGGAGATATGCCAAGGAAGCCCCACAGATGCCATTGCAGTGTAGTACACAAACGATGACTCCCCAAAATCAAGGGCAAACAAGAATGCTTCTTAAGAAGAAGGAACAATCCATGTTCTGAACGCTGCAAGGGAGATCTAAAGGCCAGGGACAGTAATATTTGGTGCTTACAAATAGCAGATATCTTTTTGGTCTTCTTGTTACATAGCAGACAGTATCTACCGTTCCAGACTGTTTGCCCCCTCCAGTATTTGCCCAGTAATTCCACCAAAAATACCTCTGGCTCAAAAATGTGGGTTACAGTAGCATATGCCTTCTTCTCCCCTTGACAAGGAGAAGCCCACCCAGTGTCTGTGTGTGCCAGCTGCCTAGTGGCTATTTTAATACTTGCAATTTGGGGTTGGGCGAGTAAAATTAGCTAAATGTCCATGTGGCCTTTTGAGTGGTAAACATCACCACTCAAGGGGAAGGTGGAGCTTGGTTGAAAGGAAATTGGTCTTCTAGCAGATACACGATGGAGCCATATCGAACTAAACATTATTAAGGAAGAAACATACTCACATGTGTGTGTATAGAATGCATTAGGACTAGATTCTTGAGCTGCTACATTTTGTTCTCTTCAAGGTTGTGTTAGCCTCAGGCATGGGATATGGCTTTCTCAGAATCGTGGTGTTTATTTGGTTGCTTTGTAGCTTTCAGTACTTATATCATTTGTGCAGAGTTACTCATATACTTGGAGGTTTGCACAATTACTTTTTTGGGGGCGGGGTGCTAAAAGGCCCAAAGGGTCTCTAACTAAGGAGCTTAAAATGTAACCCCTGACAGGGGAGAAAAAGACCAATTGGTGGGTAAGAGAGACAAGGGTTGCGAAGGATTAATGTTTGCAAAGGTTTAAGTTTGACTTCCTTTGTCAACAAAGATTAAAGGATTACGGTGGAGACCAAACTACTGTACCTAAACCACAGAATTTCCAAGGTGTAGTTCTTAATCACCCTATCAAAACCAGATTATTTCTCAAAAGAGAGAGCTACCTTCATAAAATATTGAGAACAAATTAAGGTCAGATAGTTGTGAAAAATCTGCATTGTGTCGGTCTCCCGGTATGGGCAGAAAGAGAAATGACTGCATCAAAATAAGGAAAAGATTAGTCAAAGTTATGAATGTTTCCAAATAAGGGCAGAAAGGACGGTTCGTATAGACTGTCCTTTTGCAAGATACTGTGAGGGCCAAATGACTGACCTGACCTTGCAGAGGTTGGACCTGCCAGGTTCCTGCCTTGCACCATTTTTTTTCGTCATTTACTATTGTGGAAAGAACTGTTCATCAAGATTCGCCAGTTGGTATCACACCCACATTGGGGATCTAAGCAATTATACAGGATGTAAAGAAGCTCAGAGCTCAAGCTAATGAAAGGACTTTTGTTAAAGATACCATCAATGCAGAAAAGTACTAGAAGTACTATAAAGTTTAAGCCAGTTGAAACACTTGAGTATGGAGATAATTCTTGCTTTTCTTTAGCATACAAAGGGCTTTATCTTATTGGTTATATAAATAGGTGAGGTCCAGAGCAAAACCTGCAGGAATGGTCAATTCTAGCAAACATTTGTGACTGTATCTGATGCTTTACAGAAATGGAAAGAGTGATTCTAAATGCTATTTGTCAGGGCTACAGCACTTCTCTTTCAGATAGATGCAAAATCTTGCCACTCAGAAAATCCTTTTTTAAAAAATGAAAATCATAAAGAAATTGATGTTAAACTCTCATGGGGGTGGCATTTGTGGACGCCTTTCCACTATTTATTTTAAGCATTCAGTAGTAAATTGAATTAATTGGGAATAACTGAATGAGGCTATGAGAGGGCGAAAATGTTCAGGGTAGGGGAAGAAATAGGAAGGGCATATAAATTTATTACCCTGCGTTCAGTAGAATATTACTGATTCTACAGGCAATTGGTATTGCTTTTTAAAACTAACTAATTGAGAGTCTCTAAAAGAAGAAGGCATGGGATTTGGATCCTCTCAGTTCTACAGTTTAAAAGACAAGTAAACTGGGGTGTATGAATGGTTTTCCAGTAACTTGGTGGCCAGTATCCAATAATATTTTCCTGTATGCAGCACCGGCTGAATTGGGACTCTCTTCCTTTCTCCTTTGGTGGCTGTCTGTGGCACGAAAAATTCAATCCAGGGGGCTTTCCAAACCTCCACAACAGGTTTTTTAGGTTCTGGGAGATGGGCTGTTGGATGGTGGAGGAGTGGTTGATTCTGGCAGAAGCAGCATTGTCCCATGGAAGTACATCATTAGATCCAGGCCACAGTCTCCTGACAGAGATGGTTCCATGACAGACAGGGAATGGGTGGCTGGGTGGCAGGTTGCTGGCAGAGATTGGGAGGCGAGGCTAGTCCTAAACATGGCAGAAATAGATCCAGGTGGCACTTTAATACAGTATTCCCTTTTAACTGTGCATTTTGTTCTTTTAAAATCGGTATCCAGGTTTAGCAAAAATTTAGCATCGGCATTTGTCAAAATGGCTTCTTAAAAATACAAGGGGCAATTTCAGATGAACTATGGATGTAGAATGATGGGTACTTAAAAGATGCACTGTGTGCATCTTTTCTTAAAATGCATCTTTTAAGAAAAGATTATTTTTTTCTGCAGGGTGGATAAAAATCAATTTAAAAAAACCAAAATGCTTTAAATCATGCTTTAAATCACAATTTAATTAAAAACAATACTTTAAAAAATGTAAGTCATAAAAAGCGAGATTTTTATTATTTAAATAATGATTTAAAGCAATTTTATTTCAATCAAATCTGCCCTGCTTTTCTGCATCAGGGAAGCTGGTTTGTTCACTTTCAGCCATAAAAAGAAATATAACTATGCCTTTCCCTATGGCTCCAGGGATTTCATTGTGACTGTTGAAGCTTGATAGCAATCACCTTGGGAGGGAGCTACAGAAAACAGGCTCTTGATTCGCGTGGAGACACTGTGAAGTCATCATGCCACAAATGAGTGATCAAATGATGACTAGAAATGATCATTTGATACCGCCTTGAGCTCCATCTGCTGTGTTCTAGACATTCTACGGAGTGCTAAAATCTCCTTTACGCTAGACAGCTTAATCATGGAGGAAGACATCTATAGAATCTAGAATTGTAGAAATTTTGAAAGGGATTTTTTTTTATCATTAGGCAAAACCTCAGAAAAACAGTGAAATATCTGAAATCATGGCTGATTTAATTTACAGGCCACATTTGATTTTTCGTTTAACCTTAAATCTACCAAGAAGGATGAACACTCTCAGTGGTGCAGTCCTAAATGTACTTAATAGGAAAATCTCTGTGAACTTGTTTGATTGCAAATATGTACCAGGTTATGCTATCGTTCTAGAATGAATAACTCATGCACTTGTGCGTAAATACACAGAAAAACAATGTTAAAACTAATAGAGATTGTCTTAGAGATATTTTTTGCTTCGAGTGTTTTACTTCCTTTTTCAGAATTTTTTTCTTTTTTTCCCTTTTTCTTTTTCTTTTTCTGTTTTGGTCTCCTGCCCAAGAGTGACCACTGTGTCCAGAGGCCAGGCTGGTTTGGTCATTCTCAAAGTTGTAATGAAAGATACAAACAAAAACAAAACATTTTGCAAACAGGTTTTTTTCCTGCATATCTATCAAATATATATATTTTTCCTTTTGGATAACTGCAGGTACAATAGTGTCACAAATTTAAGGAAACGTAGAGTCCAATATTTGCAAAGGATCAGGGTGAATTCCCAAACTACTGTATCCATGTTTCAATTTTAATGCTTTCACACACTGCTTTAATTTTTTTTTTTTTTTTGCATTCAAGATCTAAGAGAGGGAGGGAGAGCAACTACACTCAAACTGGATTCAATTATGATCTTGGTTACATTGTGTTTCAGTAGTATAAACAGATTTCTGTCCATGTAAAGAGGAGGTTTTGCTCAGTGAATGCTGTTACGGAGATGTCTCTGTTTCCCATGAAACAACGAAACATTCCATACTGGTGAGGGAATTGAAAATCTATAGGCACAGAAGGGAAAGGTGTTAAGGTGCAACTCACTAGGACTCTTCTGTCCGGACATGATAGGAATGCACTTTCAGTTATTTTCTGTGTTTGGTGAGTCAGGATGGGCTTTTAACTTCACAACCCCATCTGTGCCTACTGAAAAATAGATCCTCCTGTTAGTACTTACTGTCTAATAAATGGGTTTATTGTTTAATTTGAAATCTGCTTGTGCAGCACATCTTGCTGTGTAATGGGTTAGTACAGTAGCACTGTGATGAAACTTCGTGCTGAGTAAAGTGAAACTAATACAACATATTTTTCCTTCCAGATCTCATCCTTTGCTGGCAGAGGAAAAATTCCAGAGACTGTCGTTTGGGGACCTTGCAGTGAATGTGTCAGAGACGGTCATGCAACCTCTAGCAGTTCCACCTTTCCAAGAACAGTCTGCTCCTCCCTCTGTGGCAGCCACACTTGAGAGCAACCCACCTCAAGCTCGAGATCCAGAAGAGGATCTGCTCTGCATTGCCCAGACATTTTCTTATCTGCGAGAATCTGGTAAGCGTCCATGACCAGTGTAGCATTTATGCAAAAGATAAGTAGGCTGCATTTTATAGCTTCAGACTATGAAGGGCCTCTAAATGCAAAAATAAATGAATCAACTGAGTAATTTTTAGATGTATAATATGTGTCCCTTTTGATATAGCTTAGGACTTAGCATATGCTGACTCTGCCTATAACAAACTGCTGATCCTTAGACGCATGTCCCACTGCACCATGAGAACAGCGAGAGTCCTCATTAAAACCTGTCTGTGGGAGGCTTTTTCCATAGTGGAAACGAATCAGAAGGCAAACTGAGCTGCCATAACGGACTGTTTTGTAAGAGCTCAGTGCTCACAGGCAAACGGCAACATGGTCTTTTTAAAAAGCTGGCTCACCTGTGGGATTGTGTCCCACGATCATGTAATGTGGTGCAACACTAAGTGCCATGGATCCTCCCTGGGGATTGTGTAGTTTGCTGGCAGATGTAGAATTCTCTGCTGGTGAGCGCTAATGCACTGTCCTGAACGACAGCACTAGAGGCCACTCACAGGGCATTCTCAAGAGCTCAACAAACTATGAAACCCAGGATGCCATGGGATGGAGCCGTAGCAATGGAAGTTGTATCAAATTGTTCTATTTGGGTAAGGTACTGTAAGGCTGTAATTCTTTACCTGTTTTGCCTGCACTCCATGGAAATTACTTTTGAATGGGAATGTGTGGAATTGGGTTGTAAATTTGACATAGTATGTAACAGGGATAGTGGGCAATAGAGTCTTTTTAGATGGTGAGACCTGGATTCAAGTATTTAGGTGTACCTCAGGATTGCTGTGGAACAAAATGCAGGGGGAAACCATATGTGCCACTCTGAGTTAAAGAGCGGGATACCAACAGAAAGAACAAATACATTTCCTTTCTCCTCAGTTTCTCTCCTTTATGAATAGTCTGTGCTGCTTCTTACCCTCTTTCTTTCTGGGACTGTCTTCTAGGCTGGTACTGGGGCTCTATTACAGCCAGTGAAGCCAAGCAGCAGCTCCAAAAGACACCTGAAGGAACTTTCCTGGTACGAGACAGCACTCACCCCAGTTACCTATTCACACTCTCAGTGAAGACCAACCGAGGACCCACCAATGTGCGCATCGAATATGCTGACAGCAAGTTCCGGTTGGACTCCAACTGCCTCTCCAAACCACGAATTCTAGCCTTTCCAGATGTGGTTAGCCTTATCCAGCATTATGTCCTTTCTTGCACTGTGGAGAGCAAGAGTGAGGCCCCTTACCCACCGCCCTTGCCTCTGCCTCCCATCCATAAGGAGATGGCGGCCTCAGCCGTCCATTTGAAACTCATCCGGCCACTCAGCCGCAGGGACAGTGTTCCCAGCCTACAGCACCTCTGCCGGCTGCAGATCAACCGATCCACAGCGGAAACAGAACAGTTGCCTCTACCAAAGAGAATGAAGGACTATTTGAAGCAGTACCCTTTCCGGCTTTGAGGACACTTTCAGTTTCGCCTGAAGTGGACAGATGATAAAAACAACATTAAAAACAAAACAAAACAAAGAACACAGGTGGAACACTTTGAGCTACTAGGGTGCCAGAATAGCTACTGGGCACAGTTCATTAGTGGCTTTCTGAAGAGATTGTATCTCTTCTCCACTCTCCAAATTTTCCTGTAGCAACCTTGATTCCATTCCTGTGCCATGGAGGAGGCTGCTTGTACCACTAGTTGCGCGCATGTTGGCACACAATTCCAGTGCTCAAACCTCAGGGCTTCTCTCTCTCTCTTGTTGACTGTGGCTGTGAGGAGACTCTCGTGACTTGTGCACAGTACTTGAATTTCAGAGTCACTGTCATACTGACAATGCTCAATCATTGTTACTGTCATTTATTTATACCCATAGTAGTTTGAATTCTCCTCCCCTCACCCCCTATCATTTCTAAGTGTGGATTGTTTTATTTTCCCTTCCTTTGTTCCCTTTCCTTTTACGAACGCATTATCAGAGATGGGTTCCAACTGCATCTATCTGAAACAGTCCTCTATTCCTGGAAGTTTTAAATGTGGACTTTGTTTTAAGTTCTGGCCACTGCCTGCTCCACAGCCTGTGTAGGTGTATGCATTTCTGTTCTAGTGCCCCGCAGATTTCTTGGCTAGACTGGAGCCAAGATGGTGATGGCTGTAGTCTGACACATGTAGAAATCACCAGGTTTAGGAAGGCATGAACATGTTGAAAATTTGGCTCCAGTCACATTCACCATCCAGATTTTGGGTCCCATCACTGTGGCACACAGAATTGCTTTCCTTCTCCCATCTACCATCATCCAAGCCCGAATAGTCCATTTGGTCCAGGATCACAGGGACAGTCTTCTTCCCACTTTCAAGCAGAAAATACTGTTATCCAGTATTTTCATGCACACACAGCTCTCACTGCAGAAAGCTGTATAGGCAATTTGATAAAATGCTGGTCACATATGACTAGTACCTCATCAGATTGCTTCTCCAGTTGGATCTTATTGTGTGTAGGTATATAATAGAACCCTGGATATAGATTTGTTTTTTTAAATAAAAACAGAGAGGGCTACTGAATAGTACTTGTCACACAAGGCTTAAACGCCTTGTAGCACCACAGGGTTTCAGAGACAACTGGATGCTAATAGGAAAGGCTTAACGCATCGGCTTAAGCCAAAATAGTGTTTTGAACCTTCTATCAGAATCAAAACAATTAAAAACTTCCTCAATGTCCTTTTTGGCTTCCCTAGACTTCATGTGTACTTCTTAACTTCTGCTCCTTCTGTAACATATAGAGGAAGAAAAAGATGGCATGAAGGGTCATCCAAGCATCCACCCTTTTTGTACACTATGTTCAGGTACACCTTGTATGTGTTAGGAAGGAGGTTGAGACCCCATAGTAGATTGTCTAAGGTTATAGAAAAGCCTTTGGCATTATTTCTGCCTTCCATTTCTTCCTCAGCCTCATGGCATATTCTCTGAACTCATATGGTAAATGCAGATGGTTGTCCTCCATTTTGTGTCTAAATTCTCAGGACAGTTTATGGGTCTCTATTTAAAAAAAAAACCCTAAGCCTGATCTTGAAAGAGGTACCTTTGCTGTGTCACAGGGTCGAGATGCAAGGAGGACCAAGTCCTGCCTTCTGCAGTGTGGTGCCAGTGGCCGTGTTGACTGGTGATGGTGAGACCTGTTGGCCAACACACCTAGAGGGCACCAGGTTGGGGAAGCTAGATAAGATGCTAGAGTTATTTGACAGAAATGTAAGAGGTAATGTATGAAACATACTAGATCAGTAATTTAGTATGACCTGATATATTTAGTCAGGGTCCTTCTTTTTTATGTTTTCTATTTCTAGATTTCCTTTGGTTACTTTGACAACTGAATGAAACTGTGTACATGTGTGATATCTGGTTTGTTGATCACTGGTCTTTTGACTTTATGTGCCGTGGCAAGTGCTGCAGCGGGAGTGAATGAATGAGAGGAAGAAAATATAGTAAAAATAAAATACAATAAATGCTATTTTTTAACTTAAGAACCTTGGAAAATGTCTTTCTTTCAGAATATGGACGTTGTAGTTGTTTAAAGTATAGTTTCAGTTTCAGCAAATGCCTCTGCTGCCTTCATAATCCCAAACCTTGGTTCTTCTGTAATGTTGCCACTTTATCACTTTAAGAGTTTTTGCTCTATTATAGTAAGAGTTGCAGGAATGCGTATTCAGCAACACACTTGAATCCCACATTCATTTTTCACTGAAGGTTATTACTAATAATTTTAATAGCTGGGTAGTTCAGTGAGCAAGCTGCACAGTCCCAGAGCACCCCCAGAATAAGAGTAAAGTATTTGTTTGTCATTCTTCATTTGAAGATACCACCCTTCATTATATATATAATATAAATAACATTCATTATATGAATGTTATTTATATACACAGTCATTATATACTGTATAACGTAACAATCAAACAATAAAATACTTCACATAAATGGTAGAAACTGAAATAAAAATCAGCAACAACCTAAAGCCTAGCAAATAATTTCGTCTTAAATAGATATATTTCCATGTAGGAAATGTGACTGCAGTTTATTAATGTCCAAAAGCTTGGCAACACAATTTCAAATTACGTGGCCTCCCAAACGACATCCCATCCTAAGGATGTCATACTTCACAGGAACTCTAGAAGAGAGCATAGGGGCAGCAACATGGAAAGAGCTCTTCCTGTTCACGATGAACAAGTTTAGCAATATTCATCTTTAGAACATGTCAAGAGCTTCTGAGGATTATATCTAGGAAACCCTAGGTAGAGTTGTCATTTAGTTGGAATCAGCTTTATAATATGTAATAAAGACTTCTTTTACTCTAGAGGAATTTCAGCAGCACTCAGGAGCACAGATGGACGCTAATGTGTTATAATTGATTACATTATCATTTAAATTGGAAATTAGCTAATGGAAGCAGCAGTGATTTTTTAAAAAAATGTTGTAATATATTTGCATGAATTTTTCTCCAGTAGAACTTTAGGGTTAGGGTTACTTAAGACAGCAACAGGAACAACAGGAGCTGCAACTGTGGCGTCCTGCAAAGAAGGGTGGTCTACCAACTCCCAGACCTTCTGGAATAGTGCCAAAACCAGTTTTGGTGTTGTGAGTATAAAGTGGTGAGGAAGAAAGCCATGTTCAGTGCCTTGAGCTCACAGAGGAGAAACGTGGAGTATAAATAAAAAAATTGTGTAAATAATAAAACTCTGCCAGGCAGGGCAGTTATGAACAGTACACACCGTTTGATCCACATTCCAGTTAAGAAACAAAGGTGCTGATACTTATTTAAAACCCTGTGTTTGATTTGCAATTTGATCTTCAAAAGCTAAGGTGGAAGCATAGTGTAGTTAAAGCAAGCTGTCGGATTGTAGCTTGGGAGACCGAGCTTCAATTTCTGTCATAGACATGAAAATGAATGGGCGACTTTCAGCTACTCCCTCTTTCTTTGCTTGGTCTTCCACACAGGAAAACAGAAAAGAAAAACAGCTGCTTCGTCTGTGAGTGAAATTTAAAACGACGGTTGAGTAATAGTCATACTGGAGCATTAAAATGTAAAAGTACAAATCCTCCAGGACTCTGGCTGTTGACTAAAGAGCTTGGAGTTGGGAGAGAAAGACACCGAAGAGTCCAAAAACAATCTTAGGTTGATATGGAAACAACAGGATTTGATCAAATTAAATTAAATTTAATCTCCAGTTTTTTTCATGTAGGAGTTGAGTGCTGCCATTTCTACCCAGCATGGCAGTAGTATTTCATCTATTGAAATTAAGCGAGAAAATGGATTCTTTGAAGTGAAACCTAATATAACCATATCTTGAACTTTGTATTTCACTTCGTAGTCTCTAAAGGAGCTTTATTTTAAATGCAGATACAGCCAGGAAAATATTTTCAGAGTTTTCTGTCTTCCATGCTGTATTGTTCAGCCTGACAAAGAGTCCTAACGTAAGCTAACAGGAGGAAGATAAGGAGATCAAGTGGGAATGCAAGAGAATGGTTTTTAGTGGGCAAATAAAAAACTGGTTTTTAAAAATTTATGGAGTTATTTCCTCCTCTCCAAGGCTGTAAAGAGGGTTAAGGAGAGGGGAAATAGTCAAATTATGGTTAAGATTTTTTTAAAACATTCTGATAAAGTGTCTAAGATAATAACATAAATTCAACTACCAATGGAAAATTAAGGTAGAGGTTAAAAAGCCACCTTTTCAAACAAACATGATTTAATCAGATTGTTTAAACTTAGTTTAGTAATAATATATGTGACCATTCCCTATTAATTTCCCTGCCCCCATCCTCTCTCCCCGCCCCCCGGAGTAGTATCCAAAGGCTGGAATTCTGGCTCACACCTAGCTGACTGTACCACAAGGCCAAGAAAGGCAGTTGCCTTGGGTGGTGGGATGAAGCAGCAAGATGTTGATGGAGTTGAACGCTACACAGCTTGCCTTTGCACACCTTAAATAGTCTGTGGCTTCAGCTGCAGTGGAGTGCTCTGTCCCAATTGCCAGTGCTGGGGGAGGGGAAAAATTAAACTGCCATTTCAGCAGACCTGTACATGCAGTAGGAAAGAGCCCAGTCTCATTCAAGAAGGAAGATGACTTAGACTAGTGGTTCTCATCCCTGGGTTCCCCATACATTTTTGGACTGCAGCTCCCAGAAACTTTCACCACTAGCTGTGCTGGCAAGGGCTTCTGGGAGATGTAGTACAATAATATCTGGGGAGCTAAGGTTGGGAATAGCGATGTATGGAAGTGAGAGCTGGACCATAAAGAAGGCTGCCCACCAAAGAATTGATGCTTTTGAATTGTGGTGTTGGAAGAGGCTCTTGAGAGTCCCCTGGACTGCAAGGGGCTCAAACCTATCCATTCTGAAGGAAATCAATCCTGAGTGCTTCACTGGAAGGACAGATCCTGAAGCTGAGGTTCCAATACTTTGGCCATCTCATGAGAAGAGAAGAATCCTTGGAAAAGACCCTGATGTTGGGAAAGTGTGAGGGCAAGAGGAGAAGGGGATGACAGAGGATGATATGAATTGACAGTGTCATTGAAGCAACCAACATGAATTTGACCCAACTCTGGGAGGCAGTAGAAGACAGGAGGGCCTGGCGTGCTCTGGTCCATGGGGTCACGAAAAGGCAGACACGATTTATTGACTAAACAGCAAAAAGGTTGGGAATCACTGCCTTAGACTGACTCTGCAGATTTAGCACTGGAAGACCGCCTTACGGTCCAAGGGAGAGAGTAAAGTTGAAATTGAAAGTTATGGTGTAACTGTAGCACCATATCTGACAAAAGGAGGATAACTAGTCTTCCCATCATGTTATTTATACCTTTGTATTATTAGCTGTGGAGTAGCCTGAGACTACCTTTCAAACGTTTAACTAAGGTATTACCCTAATATCTAAGGTAGGGGCATGGAATTTCCTTTTTCAGATGTTGTTGCTCTCAAACCTCCCCCCCCAATGGGCAAGGAGTATGGGGTTTGCAGTCCAACACCACCTGAGCAGATCCAGTCCCCTGCTCCTGAGCTACAGATTCACCTCATGTTGCTACACCTGAAATTTGACCATAATTTCTGATTCATGGAATCCTATGGTGGCCATGTTAGCACAAGTCCTGCCCATTCTCTCAGTAATGAATGGAGCTTATTTTAAATGAAGGGGGGGGAATAAAGTATTGGCCCATTTTGGTGCCTCTCTAAAAAGCACAAGGCTGGTCAGATGCACAACTCAGTTTGATGCTGTTTACCTACATTTGCATCTTAAAGGACTGAGTAGGAATAGGAGGAGACCTTGCAAATCTTTGTAATATCTGATCATAATAAAAGTGGGAACCTGAAAATCTTTTAAAAGGCTCTTGAAAGACTGTAATCTCATTTAGGCATTCAGAAAATGGTTAGTTTGGACTCATGGGCGGTGGGTGGAAGAAAGAGTGAGCCCCTTCCCACTTTCTTGTCAGAAGGCAAGAGTTTCCTCTACATGTGAAGCTACTCAGAAAGCCTGTTCTTCACAGTCCACAACTGTGTGGAAAATATCTACCCATAACTAAAGCCCTAGTCAGGCATTATTTAGCCAGTTCTTCAACACACGCGTCCCTAATATCTCTCCTCTCTGTTACCATTTTATCCATGTGGAGAGCATGAGGCTTGCAGAGAAATTCCTGTTTTCGTGTAGACTATCTAGGCAGGCAAAGGCCCTTTAAAATCAGGGCTCCTGTTCATATGGAGAAGCTACTATATACAAGCAAGGAATTAACCCTTTTATGAAGACTGATTAGGACATCTCTGAAAGTTATCAGTGGATATTCCACCTTCCCCCACCTTCCCTTTGTCCTCTTAACATCCAGGGTGAAAAATAATGCTCAGAGCCATCCAGAGACTTTGGCTTCAGGTTTTGAGGATCAGCCAAAGAAATAAAGTCAACTTGCAGTATTGCTACACAGGATAAGGAAAACACTCAGGAAGCTAAAGGCCAAGCTTATCCATTCAGGGCAAGGATGTTTTCTCTAGTGTTTAGAGCAGGCTTAGAGAAACATATGCAGGAGGTCACTGACAGGATGCAAACAAACCTGTGTAGCTTTCACACAGTGGTGTGCATAAATGTGGGCACGGGGCCAATGCCTTGCAGCAGAGGGCCTGTAGATCTCTTCAGCAGAAGTTGCAGTTAAAAGGGGTAGGAAGGAGTGCTTTAGCTGGCACACACAGCTTTGGCTCCCTGCCTCCTAGCCTTGGCCTTCTTCCATCCCAACTTCTCTAAAGGCAAAAGCTTGGGTAGAAACCAGTTTTGTGCCAGTTGGCTCCCTGTGAGAAAATGACATAAGAAAACTCCCACAACAGCAATGTCTGGTTTAGGACACGAAATTTCTGGGAGATAATATCACCTCCTTCACCACCACTATCACTGTCATCATTTCGAGGGGAAACAGAAGCTGAGGGTGAGAAAGATGACTCGGAGCCCCCCCCAGCAGGAAACTAGTCCAGGACCAGTATGGTTCAGATCACAGGGGTT